TGTGTGTGTGAAAGTGCGCGCGCGTGGAGGGTGATAATTTTTCATTGTGTTTAATCCTGCAGACTACCCGATGTAGTAAAGAGCTATAATCTCACTATGTTAGGTGTTGCTGTTGGGTAGAGTTGCCAGTCGACACCTAGACGCTTTTGAATTCGGACCCTGTCCTTGACATTCAAAACTAGAGGACCCGTTCTAGCCTGGTAGTATTATTTGGAGAAGTGATGGATTCATCCCTTTGCGAGACAAATGGTAGAAAATGTGCGTTCTCCAACAGGAATCGAAACTGTATCTCTTATAGAAACCGGTATTTGCATATATACCCGACTTCCTGTTAACTATTGAGCCACTGAGAACTTTCCAGTTGGCAAAGTTCAAATTACTGCTTACATCTACTGCTAACATATTTGGATGGATAGATGTGCAATTGCAATTTCTTCCAATTTACAATAACTATTAGCTAACTATCATTGTCTCCAATCCCTTGAAACATTACTATCACATCATATCATATAGACCCGTTATTAAATTGAACCACCCTCTCACCCAGTATATTAAACATCACCATATAAATTAAACAATAAGGATTACAAAGTTTTACCTGTTACATATACACAGTCACCAAAAACAAACAAATAAGCAGCTTTAAATATAACAAATAAACCCCCATTTTTTTCAAAAATTTACAAATAAATATAAATAATAATAATAATAATTTTTACCTATCATAATTTTACACAAACCCCACCACACGTATATAAATACATGCGAGGAAATATTTTTCAGCGTAAAAAAAAAATAAATATATACATAATATGACATGTATACAGTCACGAGACACTAACGTGACATTTCCGCCACACTTCCAATGTTTCAATTTCAACATTTCAACATACAAATGCGTATGTATAGACATAACACCACCCGTATACATACATGTGTCATAGCCGAAACTGCCCACATACGTTTATATATGTATGAGTCCTGACGGACGACCAAGTATGTATATGTGTCTGCATATATCGATGTTTGCGTTAGAACGATGAATGACAAAAAACGACGAATTTCCCCCCCATTTCTTCACAATAACACCAATACACGCAATCTACATGAACCCAAATTTTTAAAACATTAATCAGTTTGTCTGACGATCGCTAAAGCGTGAAACCCAGGGTCACAAACTCACATCTATCCATCCAAATATATATATATATATATATATATATATATATTAAAGAAAAACAGACCACTTTAGGTTCCATTATAATAATTTATTTCATCAGAGCCCTTTTAAATGACACTGGATCATCACATAGCACTTCCAAACGATGAAACGAAACGAAATGAAATGAAAATTCATACTTTTGATGGGTAGTGTAAGTTTTTGTAATTTAACAGAGGGAGTACGGAGAGGTGGTTTGAGAGACATGGTCGAGTTTAGAGAGGGTTTATTTAATATTTCTCCCAATCATAGTATTGGGGGAGATGTGTGTGTGTGTGTGTGTGTGTGTGTGTGTGTGTGTGTGTGTGTGTGTGTGTGTGTGTGGGTGTTTGTTTTATATATATATATATATATATATATATATATATATATATATATATATATATATATATATATATATATATATATATATATATATATATATATATAGCGTATATGTACTAATTAATATATATATCCTTACTCCGTATAACCGCATTGAACATTATTACGTTTGCATAAATTTAACGATTATTTATTTGGTTGCATACGTATGCACATCAGCACACGCCTGTTTATATTTGGCCGTTTCATTTATCCATTTTTATATATATATATATATATATATATATATATATATATATATATATATATATATGTATGTATGTATGTATATATATAAATTTTGCCCAGTATATAGAGTGAGAGGGAGAAATAAGCGCGTGGAAAATCTAAAATCTAAGTCGCGCTTGCTCCGAGGCAAATTTTCTATCATAAATCTCGAATCAATTTATTTGGCAACCATTTAGTGAGAAACGCATTAGTGAAGATTTGCATTGCTATTTACATTGTAGTCACCAGCTTAAATCGACTAAGGACTCGGGCAGGAAACTTAAATCTGCTCATTCTGCTGTCGCGGTCTCTCGCTTGGAAGCCTTGCTGGATGGAATGTAGTGCGTTTTGGAAGCTACGGGTATGTCGGATGTTTGCCATCACGCGGAAATAAAGGTTTATGGTTTACCCGAAAGCCAAAACCGAACGAACATAAAAAAAGAAGAAAGAATTCGTCAAATAACATGTTAAATAAGGAAAGTATGACGAGATAAATAAAATAGGCGAAAAGGAAAAGGGAAAAAATGAATTCCCCATCAAAAAAAAAAAAAAGAAAAAAAAAGGAAAGAAAAAGACCTAGTTGAGATATTTGCGTCTATGACAGTGATACCGCTGGGGTGTACTGGAGAGAAATCCCAAATTTCGAATGTTGAGTCTTAAAGTGGACAGAGAATTAGGGCTTTAAGGCTCGAAATATTGGCGCAACATAATCTTTCAATGTTCATTTTAATCTTATCCCGTCGATTGGACCTTTTGACGAACTATGGGAAAATCCATAAACTAAGGTCGAATCAAAAGAAACAATGAAATTTGAAATGAAAGAAAGGAAGAAAAGAGAACGCACAGAAGAGAAAGAAGGAAAGAAAGAAAGAAGGGAAAAAGCAAAAAGAGTGAAAAATAGAAGAAGGAAGAAAAACGAAAGAGAAAGAAAAAAAGAAAAGAAAGAAAGAAGAAGAAGGGAAGAAAGAAGGAATAAGAAAGAAAGAAAAAGAAGGGAAGGAAAAGAAATAAAAAGAAAGGAAGAAAAATAAAGGAAGAAAAAGAAAGAAAAAGAAATAAAAAGAAAGGAAGAAAAAGAAAAGAAGGAAAAGAAAGAAATAAAAAGACAGGAAGAAAAAGAAATAAAAAGAAAGGAAGAAAAAGAAATAAAAAGAAAGGAAAAAAATAAAAGAAGGAAAAGAAAGAAAGAAATAAAAAGAAAGGAAGAAAAAGAAAGAAAAAGAAAGGAAGAAAAATAAAAGAAGGAAAAGAAAGAAAGAAATAAAAAGAAAGGAAGAAAAAAAAGAAGGAAAAGAAAGAAAGAAAAAGAAAAAAGAAAGGAAGAAAAAGAAAGGAAGAAAAAGAAATAAAAACAAAGGAAGAAAAACAAAGGAAGAAAAATAAAGGAAGAAAAAGAAATAAAAAGAAATGAGGAAAAATAAAGGAAGAAAAAGAAAGAAAGAAAAAGAATTAAAAAGAAAGTAAGAAAAATAAAGGAAGGAAAAGAAATAAAAAGAAAGGGAGAAAAATAAAGGAAGAAATAGAAGGAAAGAAAAAGAAATAAAAATAAAGGAAGAAAAAGAAAGAAAGAAAAAGAAATAAAAAGAAAGGAAGAAAAATTAAGGAAGAAAAAGAAAGAAATAAAAAGAAAGGAAGAAAAATAAAGGAAGAAAAAGAAAGAAAGACAAAGAAATAAAAAGAAAGGAAGAAAAAGAAAGAAAGAAAAAGAAAGAAAGAAAAAGAAATAAAAAGAAAGGAAGAAAAATAAATGAAGAAAAAGAAAGAAATAAAAAGAAAGGAAGAAAAATAAAGGAAGAAAAAGAAAGAAAGAAAAAGAAATAAAAAGAAAGGAAGAAAAAGAAAGAAAGAAAAAGAAATAAAAAGAAAGGAAGAAAAATAAATGAAGAAAAAGAAAGAAATAAAAAGAAAGGAAGGAAAATAAAGGAAGAAAAAGAAAGAAAGAAAAAGAAATAAAAAGAAAGGGAGAAAATATATAGAAAGGAAAAGAAAGAAAGAAAGAAAAGGAAATAAAAAGAAAGGAAGAAAAAGAAAGAAAAAGAAAGAAAGAAAAAAAAGGAAGAAAAATAAAGGAAGAAAAAGAAAGAAAGAAAGAGGAAGAAATAAAAAGAAAGGAAGAAAAATAAAGGAAGAAAAAGAAAGAAATAAAAAGAAAAGAAGAAAAATAAAGGAAGAAAAAGAAAGAAAGAAAAAGAAATAAAAAGAAAGGGAGAAAATATATAGAAAGAAAAAGAAAGAAAGAAAAGGAAATAAAAAGAAAGGAAGAAAAAGAAAGAAAGAAAAAGAAATAAAAAGAAAGGAAGAAAATTAAAGGAAGAAAAATATAGGAAGAAAAAGAAAGAAAGAAAAAAAATAAAAAGAAAGGAAGAAAAATAAAGGAAGAAAAAGAAAGAGAGAATGAGAAACAAAAAGAAAGGAAGAAAAACAAATACAGAAGAAGAGTAAGAAGAAGAAGAAGAATCGAAGAATCGAAGAAGAAGAAGAAGAAGTAGAAGAAGAAGAAGAAGAAGAAGATGAGGAGAAGAAGAAGAAAAGAAGAAGAAGAATAGGAAAGCTGAAATGAAGGGGCGGAACGGAAATGAAAATGAGAGAAAGATGTAGATATAGGAAGGTAAATGTAGAAGGATTAAGAATAAGAAGAAGAAGAAGAAGAAGAAGAAGAAGAAGAAGAAGAGAAGAGGCGGAGGAGGAGGAGGAGAAGAAGAAGAAGAAGAAGAAGAAGAAGAAGAAGAAGAAGAAGAAGAAGAGAAGAAGAAGCGGAGAAGTAGAAGAAGAGAAGAAGAACAAGAAGAAGAAGAGAAGAAGAAGAGAAGAAGAAGAAGAAAAAGAAGAAGAAGAGAAGAAGAAGAGGAGAAGAAGAAGACGAAAAGAAGAAGAAGAATAGGAAAGCTGAAATGAAGGGGCGGAACGGAAATGAAAATGAGAGAAAGATGTAGATATAAGAAGGTAAATGTAGAAGGATTAAGAAGAAGAAGAAGAAGAAGAAGAAGAAGAAGAAGAAGAAGAAAAAAATTGTAGTGGATAGAAATCCATAATATGAATTTTGATGACACAGAGCGGTGTAAGTTGACAGAGTCGGATTAGGAGAAGTGAGTGGTTTGAAAGTGTCGGAAATGTGAAGTCGGTACATTATAAGGAGATTCTCGACCTTTCTAATGTGGGAAAAATACTTTGAATATCACCTATTTGCATAATGGTGGAGGCTAATGGAATCTTAGGTTCGCTTGTCTGTAAGTGGCGGCCCGATGAATGAGGCATCATGGGAAAAGTACACTTGAAAAGATTTAGAGAAAACGTTGTGTCCGCCTGCGTCAAGTTTCGCTTTATGGCTGTATTCTACACATTCAGATTCTTTATTCAGTTCTCTGCTTTTTGAAATACTTCGAAAGAGAAATCTATCTATCTATCTATCTATCTATCTATCTATCTATCTATCTATTTGTTTGTTTGTGTGTCTGTATCTATCTATTATCTATCTATCTATCTATCTATCTATCTATCTATCTATCACAGTCTGTTCGTTATCTATCTATCTATCTATCTATCTATCTATCTATCACAGTCTATTCATTATCTATCTATCTACCTATTTGTTTGTGTGTCTGTGTCTATCTATCGAACTCAATCTATCTATGTATCTCACTCACTCACTCACTCACTCACTCAATCTATCTATCTTTCTATCTATCTATCACAGTCTGTTCGTTATCTATCTATCTATCTATCTATCTATCACAGTCTATTCATTATCTATCTATCTATCTATCTATCTATCTATCTATCTATCTCACTCACTCACTCACTCACTCACTCACTCACTCTATCTATCTATCTATCTATCTATCTATCTATCTATCTCTCTATCTATCTATCTCTCTATCTATCTATCTATCTATCTATCATCTATCTATCACAGTCTGTTCGTTATCTATCTATCTATCTATCTAGTCTTTTCATACTTATCTCTCGTAGTCTATACATATCTGCCTATATCCATATGTTTATTTTAGAAAGGTTACTTTGGTGGACAGAATTCTGAGAGTACGTTTCTCGATACACTGTATTTTAACCTCTTCAAGTCTAGAGGCAACCATTATCTATCCTACCTATCGTCGCAATCTACCCCTTCTCCCTCATCTTACATCTTGATAACCTCGCTCTCTAACACTCTGCATTGACTCTCCGGCCTTGTATTTAGTGAAAAAATAAAACAAAGATTTCTGTTCCTATCCATTTGAAATGTTGTCCACAGCTTCCATTGTTTGATATATAAGAAAGCGCTTTCCCACTGGTTCAACTATAATTTTGAATGTCATTATCTTTCTCTTAGACTGGCTTCCATTCAAGGCAAGATAACGAAATATTCTGTTATTTAATTAGCAGTTAGCTGAAGATGGAATCACGGCTCTCTAGAAACACGGACACATCAAGTTGAAAAACCAGTTCTAGTTTGATCTCCGAAGTAACGCAACGTTGAGTCTGGTGAGTAAGTAGATGGCTGACTGCTTGGTAATACCAGGTACTATAACCTTGTATATGGTGCGAATGTTAACGGTTCAAAATTGGTAAAAGGAGAGACGAGTTCCCATTTCAATCGAATTTGTTACACTCATTTTTTTAAGCAAATCACCCCAGGCAAGGCGGGAGTGCCTCTAGCATGCAAGGGGTTACAGAGAGTGAGAGTAAGAGTAAAGAGGAGTATTTGGGAAAAGGATAAAGAAAAGGACAGGGATCAAGGTCAAGGCATCAGAAGATGTCAATTGACATTACATTTGAATATTTGAAGGTTATAGCCATCAGAGAAGCAAGAGATAGGAAGGAAGTTTCACTGATGAGAGATGCGAGATAAGAAGCTGTTGGAGTTGAAGAGATGGCTACATTTAGCCATTTCAACAGTAAAAGGATGGGACCAAGATGCCAAACTAGTAGCACGCTTAAATTCATGCAGTTTGGGAACCAGTGAGAGTAGCTCGTCGTAGCAGTTGCCATGAAAGTACTTGTAGAAAAGACAGAGGGAAGCCACAGAACGTCTGTGAGATAGTGACTGTAGATGAGATGCCAGATCAGGACCAATCATGTTGCATATCTGTCTCTGGATTTTGTCGAGGACCTTGAGATGAACAGCGGGACCACCCAGATCATCTATGGCAGCAGTATTCCATGCAAGGACGAATGGTTGATTTGTAGATTTGAAGGATGGACTCAGGCGAGAAAAACCTTCTGGCTCGACACAAAGCCGGAAAGGTATGAACAGACCGCATCTCCTCCAGTAGCTATGGGTTAAATAATAGGACTTCTATCAGACAATTATTATCTCCAAGAAGTTCTGACAATAGAAACGTATTTTCTTACTTTAAATAACCTGCATAGAGTTGATGAACCGTAAAAAGAAAAACAAGTCAATTATATCTTTTGTGTAAAAGCGGATGTAATAGACTATACAGGAACCGGAAAACAACTCGTCGCCATTACTTTTCTTGACATTAACTATTGTTAACTGTTGCCGCCATGGGACATATGAACATCAAGAATTATGTAATATTTTTATCTATTGGTATACAAAATAATCTCTATCGTTTCAAGGACCCACCATGATGTTTGAAGGTAGCAAGAAGAAACGCATATACCTGTGTGGAGATAGGCGATATCAAAAAAGATGTTTGTATCATATTTTTTTACACAGTGCTAGGCAAGCGAAATCCAGGAAACGCAGAACCATGATGCCTGCAGCAACGGGAGAGAGAGAGAGAGAGAGAGAGAGAGAGATAGAGAGAGAGAGAAAGAGAGAAAGTGAAAGTGAAAGTGAAAGTGAGAGAAAGAATGAGAGATAATAAGAGAGAGAGAGAGAGAGAAAGTGAAAGTGAGAGAGAAAGAATGAGAGATAATAAGAGAGAGAGAGTGAGAGAGTGAGAGAGAATGAGAGAGAGAGAAAGTAAAAGGAGAGAGAAAGAATAAGACATAATAAGAGAGAGAGAGAGTAAGAGAGTGAGAGAGAGGGAGAAAGTGAAAGGGAGAGAGAAAGAATGAGAGATAATAAGAGAGAGAGAATAAGAGAGAGAGTGAGAAAGTGAAAGAAAGATAGAAAGAATGAGAGATAATAAGAGAGAGAGAGTGAGAGAGAATGAGAGAGAAAGTAAAAGGGAGAGAGAAAGAATGAGAGATAATAAGAGAGAGAGAGTAAGAGAGAGAGGGAGAAAGTGAAAGGGAGAGAGATATATATTAAGAGAGAGAATAAGAGAGAGAGAGAGTGAGAAAGTAAAAGGAGAGAGAAAGAATGAGAGATAATAAGAGAGAGAGAGAGAGAGAGAGAGAGAGAGAGAGAGAGGGAGGGGGTAATGGTATAATTATTTGGCAACTGACAGCAACCAAATAAAGGTCTTGTATTCCGTACCTGTGGGTACGCAAAATATACAGATGCCTATGGATAGGTTTTTAAATCGATTGACGCATAGAGAAGATAGATTTATGGTTAAAACCAGACCCGAAAACATAGAAACGGAGAAGTGAAGCAGATAAGCAGACATATGTAAGAGATGGGGGCACCCAATTTGAAGAAGAATAAACAATAAATCAAAAAAAATGTCGGCCGAAATTATGGCGTGTTTGTCGCATGTTTTTGCCTTTAAGGAAGAGAAATTTTGGCCCTGGCGTATGTCCAGTTATTGGCAGAGGGACGAAATTTGCCGGCGGAATACAGTAAAATCCCAAACAGTAGTTGCGTCTATCAAATTTTTACTTTGTCTGAGGCATTGCTTAGTTTGCTTAGTCGCATGGCATCATGGGAAAGCGGCCATATTGGAAAGAAGAGGGGTAAAGAAAGAGTTGCTTAATGGGAATATTGGCATGTCCAAAAGGGATAAATAAAGGCGAAATGTCAAATAAGGGATTGAAATATGAAGAGCAGTGGAAGAAAAAAGCGCGGATGGGAAGGGTAGTTGCGACGAGAAAAATGTGACGATAAGAGAAAACGAAACGAAAAAAAAAAGGGTGAAAAAGGTGGAGACCGAAAACGAAAGGTAGAATAAGCGAGGAGAATGAAAGAAAAATGAAGTAAGCTAAAAGCAAAGACGGGAAAAGAAAAACGAAGGTCAGCATCATTAACAAAATTTATAGAAACCCCCCAAAATAATGGATTTTACAGTGGGAAAATCTGTTGAAGACACAATTGAGCATTCTGGCCTTGTCCAGATTGTTGATCATGTTTGATAATAAGCTTCACTCTTAACTAAGATCTGCTCAGCATAATTGCAGTATAAACCACTCTGTGGGTGTTGAACATACACAAATATGCCTGAGCCTAATAGATATTCTCGAATATGAATGACCAACCATTAACGTTATATATACCGTGGAGTCTAACTGTTCAGTTCTAAATGCTGGACTGTTTTCAAGGCATATATATATATATATATATATATATATATATATATATATATATATAATTTAAATAAAAACAGACCACTTGAAGGTTCCATGTAATAAATTATTTCACCACAGCACTTTTAAAGGTCTTTTTGAGCTTTCTGGATTTTATCCTCCTTGGGTTTACCCATACGGATTACCTATTTTTTCATAAACTATATATATATATATATATATATATATATATATATATATATAACTTATGAAATGGACAGTCCGACAATTATTTAAGACATTTTTTACATTTATACGTTCGTTTTATACATACGAATATTTGTATCTATAAAAAGAACGTATAGACAAAAAATGTCTTATATATATATATATATATATATATATATAGTCATCCACAGACGGACAGTTTCGCTGTATCACAACTCCTCAAACCCGACTGATTTGACGTCAGATAACTTACCCCTAGGCCATCGTTGGATGGTAAAAAGGAAGGGAATATGAACGTTTTTCTGTATACAAAATACGCCAGCGGCTCGGAGAACTCAATTTATACTCAAAGAGCAATGTTTAATAGCCGGTGTTAAACCTCCCTTTTCCCTAGAGAGCACAACCAGAGCACAAAGTTACAAGTCATTTTTATATATATATATATATATATATATATATATATATATATATGTGTGTGTTGTGTGTATATCTATCTATCTATCTATCTATCTATCTATCTATATATATATATATATATATATATATATATATATATAGAGAGAGAGAGAGAGAGAGACGTGAGTAAAAAATAGCGCCAAACACGCTCAGAAATATCTGTGCCGCTGTATACAACCGGTTTCTGAGATTTAGAATTAAAATTACCTTGGGGACATTCAACAGAAGTAACAATTAAAATGGATAGCACATGTAACAAGAAAATAATGACGTAATCAATATATTTAGATTCCATACTTCTTCAAACAGAAGGTTAGAAAGGAAACCCTTATCAATACTGAAAACGGCAAGAAGAGTTAGTCGACTGGAGAAACCCATGAAATTGTTTTAAAATATTTTATTATTGGTGTCCTCTTTCTAAAGAGTATATTTTAGACTCTTCCCCCTACTATAAAATTAGTAGGAGAGAAGGTTTCGGGGGAACAATGAACGGATTGAGTGCTAGTTCATTCGATACACTCTTGCTAGTCGTGTAATACTCTTCTAGTGTAATTAACCATTTACTTGGTCACAACAGTAATTTTAACTGGCAACAACACTCGATGATATGTCGCAAAGCCATGGTAGTAGGGTTCGAACTCAGTACCCTAGTGGAGTAGACTGTGAATTTTTTTTTTTATTAAACATCTTTTCACTGTACGCGGAATAAAAACAGATATTATCTCGACCAGCAAATAAAAAAGAGAGAAAAAAAAAAAGAAAAATAATATTTTAAAATAAAAAGAAATAGCGGAAATTCATTTTGACTACCCTATAAATCACCAGGCGAGTTCAATTTGATAGGCAAACCAAAATCGCACGGTGTGGAGAGTAAATCATGCAGCCAAGGTCTAAAATGGCCTAAAGCAGAAAACCGAGGGTCTTGGTGAGGATCGAACTAACTAATCAATCGTAAATTGAACAAGCGAGACAAGATTACTAACCATCACAACACGTCAAAGCAGCTAAGTAAATATTCGTTACGGAGAGAGACTAAATTGCTCACAGTAAAAACGGTGATAAACAAATATTAAAGGATTTTAAAAAAATGAAAACCAAATTCATAGAAAATAAAGGTAGAATAACGAAAAACTAAAGTGGAAAAAATATTTTCGAGAAAAAATATTCAAAGAAATATCAAGGTGAAAGTAAACAATAAAAGAATATTAAATATTAAAATAAAATGGTGGACGATAAGAGAGTAGAAGGGGGAAAGCGTTTCTTGCAGACGGCCATCACTGGAGTGTTCTTCATATTTATACATACAATTCGAGGATTTGTAAACAGCTATATGAAAAATACCATATTTAGTCGTGTGCCTAAACTAAGGCAATAGCAACGAATAGTGACTGCAGGCAAAAGTAACAGTCGTCGTATTGTTAACAACATGAAAAGAGGTAAATAACAGTCGGCCAAAATACAAAGTGTGACCTTGTGTCGAAATAACAAAAAGCACGGCAAATCTTAAGTGTACCACAAAATAACACATGTCGCCTTCAGCCATAACAAACACACACACACACACACACGCACACACAAACACATATATGTGTGTGTGCATATATATATATATATATATATATATATATATATATATTTATTTAATCGAAAATTATAACATAAATATGTTATAAAATAAAAGTGATTTTATAATATATTTTTGTTATAATTTTCGAATAAATAATTATATTTGCTCTACTCTGTATTGAGCACTCTTTTAAGAATAGTATTTGTTGGTTATTGGAATTTATTCCGTATACACCAATCCTATACTTGGGTGTATATATATATATATATATATATATATATATATATATATATATATGTGGCACCTTGCATTATTAGAAATATTCATAGAAATATGATTTAATTTTTTCTTACTCGGTTTACTAAACAGGTTGTTGATTTTTTTTAAAACGGAAGATAATTGAGTTGAAAATAATTCACTAAGATTGTACTTGGACGATCCTAAGGGAAGAAGAGGAAGAAAAGAGAAAAAGCAAAAAGAGAGAGGTCGAGAAATACAAAAAGCGGTCATTAACAAAAACACGAGTCAGAAAGATATCTTAGCTAGCATGTTGACCGAATTTTTTAAAGACAATTGGAAGAATAGAATTAGAAATAATAAAAAAGAAAGAAAGGGAAAAGACATGATATCAAAACGGGCCGCTTGATGAAAAACCAGATATCGGTCAAAGCATCTAGCCTACTTTTGCGTAGAAAAGACACCTTATCAATTTGGATAAAGGGAAATTTTGGGAACAATGAAAACGAAATCTTAATCAGAAAAAAAGTGTTTTTTTGGGTTGAGGGGAGTGACCGGTGGAATTGTATACAGATTCTGACCTGTTAAAATTAGAACCCCACATTGACGAGTGAAAGATATTTTCAATTCAGATAAATTAAGATTTTCTGACTGTCGGGTCTGACCAAAAACAAGAGGTGAAAAAAAAAAACGATTGTCTCAGTTCACAGATAGCGCCAATATTCTTCCTGAAGTCACATCTAATTAGCGGCAGGCTGTGTTGACAAAACCCAGGTGAGAAAAAGCCAAGATTATCATTTTTCGTACGTGCGAAAAAAGGCCAAATTAGATTTTGTTTTTTAGAACAAGAACGATATAAGCCCGCCCTGATTGATTGCAGGAAAACGCCCAACCAGAGTCTCATTAGCCGAAAACGGTCACGTGGCTGCGGAAAAAGAAAAGAAAGAAATGCTCGATCAGGAACCATTGGTCGAAAGCGGTCACCTGACATACGCGCCTCCCCACCAAAGGCACTATGAGGAAGTAGGGTGAAAATAATAGCGATAATGAGAAGACAGAAATAATGCGACTTTTGAAATTATCGAGAAAACCCTGACGCCGACAGACCCACCCCGGTTTGCTGCGGCGTCAATAAAAGCAGGACCCCAGTCGACAGAAATCAGTTGGGTGGAGTTGCAGCTGGACCGCGGGCAGGGATAGAGCCTGAACGCGGGCATCGGGCCCGATTCACTCGCCCCTTTGCGGGCAAAAAGAATCCTCAGACAAGAAATCCTCCCAGCCCAAGTCGAAGACAGAAGAGTTCAGCCCCGGACGGCAGCGAGAAGATCACCTCGGACGACAGAGAGTTGCGGCTGAGTTGCGGCAAGAGATCCTTCCAGCAGAAAAAGTCGAAGACAAAGAACTTCCAGCCTAAGTCGACGAAGAAGAAGAAATACAACTCAAGTCGAAGAGAAGAATCAACTGCGAATGATCGATAGAAATTAGCCCCAGTGTCGAACCAAACCACACTCCGACATACACAATTCTAAAGAGTAAGCAATTCGAAATCTTTAGGGTTGTGTGATAGAAGCTTGTGCCATAGTCCACAGAGCGGGTTGGGAAATGAGAACAATTTTGTTTTTATGTAACGGACATTAAGATATAAAAGGTTGTTACCCATTTTTTTTCATCAGCAATCTT